CTCCCTCTCTCGCTCCCTCTCTCGCTCCCTCTCTCGCTCCCTCTCTCTCCATGCTTTTCCAGCTTCCCCTTAAATGCATTTATAATGTTTACCTCCAGCTCCCCACCTGGGAATAAATTCCCAATGCTTGCTACTTTTGGGGTACAGAGGTTTCTCCTGGTTAAAACAGCCTCTGTACTTGCTCCCCACGTGCCTCCATGGCAACTTCCCGTGTAATTGCAGAAGATGTAACTTCAATAAATCACATTGCTCTCTGTTAATGTTTCCATCCTAGGCCTGCTGTGGTGTTCCAGCAAAACTTGATGCAAAGCTTAAACACGTACCAGCAGGTTCAAGAACAGCTTCTTCCCTGCTGTTATTAGACTTCTAAATGGACCTCTCAAACTTCAAATCTAATGTTGATGTTGCTTTTTGCGCACCTTCTTTGCAGCCATTATTTTGCATTCTTCACTCTGTTCAATCAATCCATGATCTTTGTATGTTATAATCTGCCTGTACTGCATGCAGAACAAAACTTTTCACTCTACCTAGATACATGTGACAATAATAAATCAAATCAAGCTTGAGGAGCCGCACCTCATTTTCTGCTTAGGTACTTTACAGCTCCCTACTATCCAGTTCCCTTCTTCCTTTCCCCATTGTCTAGTCCAGCTACTTTTCCTTTATCGCCTTTCTTGAATTTGCCCTTCAAATATGTATTCAACTTCCCTTTGACCTCTTGACACGGAGTTATAGGAGACACTCGGGATTGGTAATAGGCAACTTTTTAAGGAATGTCTTGAGAGGAGGGAGGTGTTGAGGCAGAGGGGTTGAGTGAGAAAATTTTAGGGCCTTTTCTGGTTAAGGATGAAACCAGTGCTAACCACTTATCAAGTTTTGAATTATTCACACAGTGAAACGTAAGAAATAGGTACTTCATAGCTCAACCACACCAATGTTTCTTTATACTAAAAAGAAACATATTGAACTGAAGCCAGTTAAAGCAAATTAGAAGGTACCAGCCCCTTTTAAAGAGGCATTTTAACAAATAGCAAAACTTTATAACAAATTAATTTAAAATGTCAGGGATAATGTGGCACTCATTGGTAGTGGAAGGCACAAGGCCTGCTGTAGACGAGAGGTAGGCACTTGAGTAGAGTGACCTAATCCACAGCCTGTTTCCTGGACCAGCTTGTCCAGCCTCAGGAATAGATCCATCGATGTTATTCTCACACACACAAACAAACAAAGCTCTCCATCTGCTTTTAGTTAAGCACATTGATATACAATTTATACCTGTGGTGGAGTGATGCAAGTTGGAATGGGGTGCACAAGAGACTAGAATTGGCGGGGCTTGTGAGCTCTGTTATTTAGAAGGGAGAGAGAGAGACAAGTAGAAAGATTTTACTTCTCGCAGCATATTGTGGTCACTGCTTTGGTTTGTGTAGCAGTATTAACATTCTTGTAGTGGCAAACAATGTTATAAAGTTTAAGTGCAAAATTTCAAGTGACCTGACAGCTATATTGGGCCTATTAATTCTTTATGGTATTTAATGAGGGGTACTAGGTGATGCGTATGGAAATAGTGCAGTATCAGTGTCAAGAAATTTCACTTCACATCCAGCATGCCGCTTATAAAATCAATGTGGTCAGGTCCAACACTGCAATGATGCTGTGTGACTCTGTGGCAGGAAGTGTTACTCTTTTTTGAATTGGATGCAGTTCAGGTCTGTGCACCAGAATGACATTTCCAATTTTGGATTGCTGTGAAGTAGCTTCAGTTTCATGTCGGCAGTAAACTTGCAAACCTGCTAATGCTCTATGAATGCAATGAATCAAGTAAAACATCTGGCTGTGATAGACTCCTGAAACGTTGAATGGTATGTTGTTCTAATTTTATAGAGATAAAAAATAGAAATTACATGGACATACAGAAATGGATCTGAAAGCATTGATTTTATAGATAAATATCCAAATCCAGGAAAGTGATATACTACAGCAAGTTGCAGTAAAGCTACAACCTTTGATGTTGCAATGTTGAATCTTATATGCACTTTCCCTCACCATAAGTAGAAGTAATTTCATTTGGAATCAATGTTAATCTAGTAGAAACGGTCGAACAGCTTCAGAAACCAAGTCAACCCATACATTTAATATTAGCTAATTTATTTTATAGAACTATTTTGTATAGTGACTCATCTGACGTTTTGAATGAACTGTGAAATCGGCTTTTATTTTACATTCTGTGGCAAATGCTCTCCTGATCCCATGTCCGTGTTGTGGGGACATTCTAAAGTGGTGGACTCATTCTAAATTCAAATAAATTTTCAAGATCGCAAGTTTTCCTGTGGCGTATTTGAAGAGTACACATAGCGCTGCTTTGAAATGTACAAAACTGAACTTACAAGTTCAGGACCTGAAGATATGAAAATGGAAACTGTACACCTTGCCCATTAATTTTGTGCTCCTCCAGCTGGCTTTCCTAACTGGCATCGTGTCTTTAATTTCCCTGTTACCCCCAAATTGCTTGCATATTAATTGCCCATTAAACACACTACAGCAAGTTAAGTCTCCGAACTGTATAATTACCCTTTAAGAATTTAATTGATAATTTTGTGATACTAACTTATCTCAACATATTAATGATTTCAATGAGGCAACTAAATATAATATCCCCCAGGCTTGCAGATGACCCAAAGCTGGGAGGGAGGGTTAACCTGTGAGGAGGATGCAGAAAAACGTCAGTGTGATTTGGCAAAATTTTGAGTGAGTGGGCAAATGAAGTATAATGTGCATAAATGTGAGTTTATCCACGTGGTAGTGACCCCCAACCGCAACAGCGCCCCCACAACCACCACCAAAACCACTAGAAGGCAGATGATTATCTGAATGGCGATCGATCCAGAAATGTGGGAGTGCGATGAGACCTGGGTGTCGTTTATACACCCGTCATTGAAAGTAAGCATGCAGGCGCGGCAGGCAGTGAAGACGTCAAATGGTATGGAAGCCATTTATGGTAAAAGTTTTCGAGTACAGGAGCAAGAGTGTTTTTCTGCAATTATACCACACCTGGCGTATTGTGTGCAGTTTTGGTTTCCTTATCTGAGCAAGGATGTTCTGGCTAGGGTTTACCAGACTGATTGCTGGGATGACAAGACTGACGGATGAGGGGAGGCTGGCTCCATTAAGACTACGTTCACTGCAGTTGAGAAGAATGAGGTCTCGGAAAGCCCTATAAAATTCTAAAGGAGATCAACAGTTAACCCCATCACTCTGTGGTCCCAATGCACAACTTCGGCCAGCTCACAATGTCAAACGTTTTGACCTTTATGGCTTGGAGGATAAAGTCGAAACTGATGGCATACGCCCCAAAATGTCCTACATTGGCAAAGTTTACCCTTTAACTCCCCTGGCTAGACGGTGAGCAGCATAGCTGTTGATTTTGTTAGCCATGGTCTCTTGATGCGCACATGGTATGATAATGCTGATAGGAAAATAAATGAGGTCTGGCAACTATTTTTGCATTTTAAATCTCAACTTGATGGCCAAAGCCGCAGTGTTTAATGCGATTCAAATCATTGGCTCTTGTCTTGCACTTAACTAATTTTGCTTGTCATTTTTGCCATAGGCTGCCAGAATGGAAGAATACTGCTACTACAATGAAACCATTGCCTTTTTTTACAACAACAGTAAAAAACCCCTAGCTCAAGAATGGAATGCAATCAGCAAGCTTGTCATGGGCCTGGGCATCACCGTGTGCATCTTTATAATGCTTGCTAACCTGCTGGTTATGATAGCAATTTATGTGAACCGCCGCTTCCATTTTCCCATCTATTATTTGATGGCGAATCTAGCAGCCGCGGACTTCTTTGCCGGCCTGGCCTATTTTTACCTCATGTTCAACACGGGACCCAACACCCGCAGGTTGACTGTCAGCACGTGGCTTCTGCGCCAGGGCCTAATAGACACCAGCCTCACTGCCTCGGTGGCAAACCTGCTGGCCATCGCCATCGAGAGGCACATCACGGTGTTCCGAATGCAGCTGCACACCAGGATGAGCAACCGGCGTGTCGTGGTGGTGATTGTTGTGATATGGACCATGGCCATCATCATGGGGGCTATCCCCAGCGTGGGGTGGAATTGCATCTGCGACATCAATATCTGCTCCACCATGGCACCGCTCTACAGCAGCTCCTACTTGGTCTTTTGGGCTATTTTCAATCTGGTCACCTTCGTTGTTATGGTGGTCCTGTACGCCCACATCTTTGTCTACGTGCGACAGAGGACTATGAGAATGTCTCGTCACAGTTCAGGGCCCCGCAGAAACCGTGACACCATGATGAGCCTGTTGAAGACGGTTGCTATAGTCCTTGGTAAGTGACTTGCTTTTCCTATTTACACACCGTCGTACAATTGCAGTGTGCCGTTTTCCTTTTCCCCCCTTTGTGTCTTCAAGTTTTAAGGTCTTCTTGCACAACAGCAAACGTGAAAATTGGAGCTTGTTCTGGGGATCCACTTCTGCTTCTGAAACAACAAGAAACATTTCCTTCTGAATGCCCTTAACAATTGAGATGCTTGTTATGGGACTGTGTAATATTGTCCAAATGGATGTTGTTGGCCCATCCTTCAGTACCCCATGATTTAAAAAGATTTCTAGTTCTAATCGATTGTCAGTTTGTGCAGGACTTTTTTTTTTAATCTGCTGTCCTTCAACTTGCTTGTCAAGAGTGTTTTAGTGCAATCTCGAGGAATATGCCTTTTTCTGTTTTGACATTTTATTTTGCAGTCAGCTATCTTTTCACTTGTGAGGAAATGTACTAAACTAGTGCCAATGAGACATGTTTGCTTGGATGATATCAGAGCTGAGAGGGTGTTACCAAAGGGGAATCCCAGCTGAGGTCCTGTTTCTCCATTTGAAGCGAAGGCAGAGAGGTGACTTGATAGAGGATTTTAAAATTGAAAAGGTTTAATTGGGTAGTTGTGGAAAACATGCGGGAATTCAGCAAAACCTGTTTACCTCAAGATTAGTGAGAAAGTAGAAATCACTACTAGGAGTAATTGAGGCAAATAGTGTAGACGTATTTAGGGGGAATCTGGATAAGTATGCGAAGAATCAAGTCATGGAAGGATATGATCACAAGGTGACCAGAAATAGAAAGGGAAGATGGTTGAGGTGTCTATATAGGCCTATGGCTGCACCGTGAATGCTGTGTAATTCTGTGGCTAGCAGAAGATGGTTCCATTGTGGATTTTAAGTCTATTTTGTTGTCAGTATTGAAGTTTGATATGAACAACAAAGGACAAATTCAGAATTTAGATATTCAGTCATTGCCTGGTTGTGGTCCAAAACTGATTAAAGGAATTGCTGTTTCCTTTTACTATTTTGTTATCAGTTTGGCAGATGCCTGGTACTGTGAGGCAGTGTCATGGATCAACATTTCTGAGCCTGCACAACAACAGTATCTGTCAGCATTTTTAAACATAACTCTTTGTTAATATGATGAAAGAAACTCCTTTCCCTTTAGAATTGCTAGTTGATTCAGGATGGTGACACACTGGGATATCTGCTGTTGTACTCCATTCTGTCACAAATCAGTTAACATTTGGGCAGATGGTAATTTTCAGACTGTTAACACTGGAAAAGATATGAAGCTTATTTTGCAGCGGTCTTTGCCAGAGTCCTGTTTGTCTTATTTGGACTTTTATTGTGTGTTTGCAATCAGCAGGACATTTTACCTGATGGGGCAATGTTCACATTAGTTCTTGTAATGACGGAACTATGGCATGGATAGTGCGGTGTTGAAAGATTCCAAAGACATCTATCACAGTTCGCATGTGTGTATATTTACACAAATAAGACATTCACAGACATACTAGTGTATGAGCTAACATTTTAAGCTATTCGGTGACTAGGAGTAGTATGCTTTCATCAGCATGTCACGCTTCAAGTGACCCAAGATAAGATGGAGTCTGAGATCTTCCATACCCTTGGGTCGCATACAATGATAACGGTGGAGAGACATTGCTGTAATGGTAATGTTGCTGGACTAGTAATCCAGAGGTCCAGTTAATGTTTTGGGGTTGTGGGTTCAAATTTGTGATGCAGATGGAATTTAAATTCAATTAATAATCTGGAATTATAAACTCGCCTCAGTTTTGTGGCCACCATTAACTGCTATCTTTGTTGTAAAAGCCCATCTGGTCGACTAACATTCTTTTAGGGAAGGAAATCTACCGTCCTTAGTCTTGCCTACGTGAGACTCCAGGCCCACAACAGTGTGGTTGGCTCTTAACTGTCTTCTGAAGTGACCTGATAAGTCACTCAATTCAATGGCAAATAACAATGGGCTTGCTCATGCTACCTACATCCCTTGAAAGAATAAAGAAACATGTCTTTTAAAGGTATGTTGACTTTGAGATGTAACACAACATCTAGTTTTACTTATGGCAGACACTGATTTAGTGAATGGCTTGGAGATGCTAATGCACAGTTACATATTTCTCCTTGAATGCACTGATACCTTATGCCATTGCTACGCTGGAAATCATAAGTGCCAGGGCACTAGTTTCTCTGAGTAAATTCAAATGTTGATTAACTTGTGGTATTTTCTGCACCTTTTGAATTTCCTTTATTTTAAAGGCATCAGAAGCTGTTGCATTAAAAAGGGAAAAGCTTCCATGGTCGTAGTTTTGAAAACAGGCTTGTGTTTAACACATGTCACTGATGTTCTTAATAACTAAGTGTTTAATTTTCATGATGTCAGGAGGATAGGCTTTCCTTGGGGCCCTGATAGCTTATGCTATTTTCATTGTTTTTATGCATTTTTTTAATAAACTGCCAAACCTAAATAGTTTCTCAGGAAATTCCTGTGTAAATTTTTGGCAGCAGGATCAATGCAAAATGTGTGGTGAGGAAGTGGCAAGTCAATTGATTATTTGGCCACTTGTGATGCACATTTGCCAGCAATTCATTCATGTCATCTCCCCTTTAATCTGTCTAATAATGCCTTTCCTGATGTGATTGTGGTACACATTTGTGAGAGTCTCCTGAGCTGGTTGTATTAAATTGTACAACTGTTTCCAATTCCTACTGCACTTGGGGCCCATTGTAGCCCATTGGGTTCTGTTTTTAATGTTAGTTAATGGAATTCCAATGCTAAGGATCCCAGCAATAGGGGTAAAGGGCATGAGTTGTGACAATTCCTCAAGGTGATCTGCTTATGTCTACGGACTTCACCTTTGCAGTTCTATTGTTGCTTCTGAATGGATGCAATACGATACAAAAATTAAATCTCTTTTAAAAAAAACCAAAAATTTCATGTACATCCCTTGTTCTGATGTGATACTTCTTGTTCCCACTGGATGCCTAGTCACTTTTTACTTCCCAATGTGTTTCTCTCTGGCTGTTTGATTTTATGGATACTGGAGCAGTTAGAACCTTATCTATCCCCCATTGCCTTTTAAGAAAGCACTGGTGAGCTGCCTTCATGTTTGGCCATTTCAGAAGGCAATTAAGAGTTGCTCAAGATTGATCCATTGCTGTGCATCTGGAATTATTATTTAGGCCCGGCTGGTTAAGGATGACTGGTCTTCTCCTCCTTTTAAAGAATGTTAGCTAACCTGATGGGACTATCCAGGGTAGTTTCATGGTCACCATTTCTGACACTAGCTTTTGATTCCTTAATTCAAACTCATTCCCCCCAGCTGTCAGAGTGGGATTTTAGCTTTGTATCTGCTGCTTACTGTCTACTGATTTGGACGGCATGGTGGCTCAGTGGTTAGCACTGCTGCCTCTTGGCACCGGGTTTGATTCCACCCTCGTGCGACTGTCTGGAGTTTGCACATCCTCCCTGTGTCTGCATGGGTTTCCTCTGTGTGCACTGGAAACCTTCCACAGTCCAAAGATGTGCAGGTGGATTAGCCGTGGGAAATTCAGGGTTATGGCCAGGGAGTTGGGTCTGTGTGTGTTTGGAGGGTTGGTGTGTACTCGATGGGCCAAATGGCCCACTTCCACACTATGAGGAATACTATGATTCTGTACTGTTTCAATAATATAAACACTTTCTGTTCATGTTTAACCTTACCATACTGCTAGAGGATAGACCAAAGCTTGTCACAACTGAAGCAGATTGTGTTTTTTGCCTAAGACTGAATCAACACATTTCGATCTGGCCATTCACTAATGAACTGGATGGAATATCCACCCACCTACTTCAGGATTCCTCCTCTAACGGTGTTGAGAGGAACTATTATTTGGCTGGAAGTGATCTACAAAGGCACCTTTTCAATTAATACACTGTTAAACAAAATTTGACACCAAGTCACGTTGGCTGATGTTGGAGTAGGTGACCAAAAACATGCTCAAAACAAAGAAAAGGTGACTATTAGGAAGGAAAAAAGCTGTGACTATGGTGCTTTATCCCTCTTTCCCCCTTCACGTGTATCGCTCTCTTTTGACACTATTGACCAGACCATACGCATCCAATGGCTGTGCACCATTGTTCAGCTGGGTCAGATTGCATTTGTCTGGTGCCATTCTTGTCCGTTCACTCAAGTTACCTGCTGTGTCTTCTCTTCCCACTCCCGTGCCATCAGCTTTAATGTCTCTGCTATCTTTGGCTTCATTATATCTTGCATCAACATGCTGCCCCTCAACAACTCCATCTAAAAAGTACAACCTTAGTTTCCATATGTACGTTGAGGACATTCGGTTCTCAGCACCACCTTTCTTGACTTCTCACTGTCTCTATATTGTCAGGCTCCTCATCTAACATCTAGCAGAGGGTGAGTTGAAATTTTCTCCAGCTAAGTAGTGGGAAGAACAAAGTATTGTCTTCAGTTCAGTTAAACGCTCTTTACTAATTATTGACTATGCCTTTGCCTGGCAACAGCCTGAGGCTGACCAGACTCTTAGTAACCTTAGCATTGTATTTGACTCAAAATTGAGATTCTTACCACACTTCCATCAGTACCAACTCCCATATTAGACACTGCCCATCTGCTGCTGATAGCCCCAGCCATGACCCTAGTTACTTCTGGATTGACTATACTAGTGTTCTCCTGTCTGGTCTCCTATTTTAACCATAATGTAAACTGGAGCTCGCCCAACATCTTGCTTCACATTTCCTAACTCTCCTGAAATCTCACTCAGCCACATGCTCACAGCTCAAGATTTTGGTAAAGTTTCACTTGGAAAGCTCTCGTCTTTTCCAATCCCTGCATGACCTTGCCCCCTCTTTTCTGTAACCTGCTCCTGCCTCTGAATTCTTTTCAAATTCTGAGCTCTTGGGCATCCTCTATTTTAACTCACTCTCCCAGTGGATGCCTTGACTTAACCTAACATAAGTAATTCCCTGCCTCAATCCTTTTGCCTCTGTCCGC